GTATTTCAAGATATTCCAATTTAGAGATATTTATTATTTTATTTTTTTAGCATGATTATATTGTCATCATAATCTCCTGGATTATAAAAAAATTGTCTGGCCAAGATCTAGTTTTTTTCCTGTGTGCGCGCGCAAAATAGAAGTTTCTGTTTTTGCTCACCATTTTATGTCTAATGAATTTCAGAAAGGATTCTGAACAGACTAAGCAGATAGAAGGGCTTGAAAAGCATAATGATGAATTGACGGAAGAAAAGGAGTGGTTTCTTGAAGAGATTGAGACGATTATCACCGAAACGGGAAAGATGTGAGACCTAATTCTGTTACCATTTTCTCACTTCCTTTTGCCTGGGACACAAGAACAACCATTTGTATTTAACCATTTTAAGAAGCCAAGCTCGGGCTACAGTGCAAGGAGTGTCGAAACATCCAGTTCAGCTTTCAAAAGCACCTCAACCTCGAGCATAATTATTAAAACACTGTAAAGGCAAACCTTCATATGTCATATCATAGGTGGTGTTTGCTTTTCATCGTCGGTATTGAGTACTGTAGTCACTGTATATGGCATAGCCTAACAATGATAATAGCTTCCATTTTGTAAACTTGGAGAGGTTGTATCAGACAGACTAAGCTCCAGTTTCAAAAACTAAGATGAACTAGTTGCAAGGTGAGGTGATTATGATGATCTCTGTAAGGCTTTGTTTGGTTCCCTGGTTTTCGTGAGGGAAAAGAAAACACAGTGCGAAGGAAATTATTTTATCTTATTTGATTTCCATGTAATCTCTCAATTAATCAAGAGATGAAATTCAATGGAATATTGTTTTCCATTCTCTTTCACTAAATTTGAATATTGTGGAAGGGAAAAGGTATACAGCAAGTGCATGTTTGGGGAAAAGGTTAACTGGTACCCCAGTCAAACACTTTGTTCATCTTTGGAATTAATTTATTTTTCATTTTATTAGTACTGCAAATTCATTGGACCAAGGCAAGTCCTTACTCTTGGTGGCAGTTATGAGGAAGCCTCGAGTATATTTTTAAATAGGTCAAATGATTTGGATATTTCAACAGTTTTAGCCCTCCCTTTGGAAAGCAATAAAATAAAGTAATACAAAAATAACATAAATTAAGGAAAAGTATTTTTTAATTTGATCATGTGAAAGGCTAGTTTGACTTCATTTTTTATTTTTTAAATTTTCTCATCCTTTTACTTTTGTGGCTCTTCATTTAATTACTATATCATTTCCCTTCTCCCATCCTCTTCCTTTCCTTCCCCCTGCCAAACATAGCATAAGCTGCATAGCATAAATTTCCATGGCTGGCTTTTCTAAAGAAAGATCAGTGACAGCTACAGAGGAATTAAATATATAAATGGATTGATCACCAAGAAGAATATTCGAACTATGGGAGGATAAAAGAAGTGGGGAAAGAGCAAGTAAATTGACCACACCACTTGAGCACCAATCATGAATGCTTGAGTTGTCCAAGTAAATCCAATTAGGTATGTATCCCTTTCTTTACTTTAAATCAGTTGACTTTTGATTTACGAATCCGAGAAATGTTAATGATGTTAGTGGAGAATAGGAATAAATTTAGTTTAAAATTTTAATTTAATTTTTTTTAATTTAAATCGCATTTTGATGCACTTAAACATAATTAATATAAGTGCAGTTGCAGTGGTGTGAGTCTTGTGAAATTCACAAAATTTAAGGACTGAGCTAGTATAATTGAAGTTGTGCATAGTAAAGCTCAATGAATAAAAAATTGGATATGACTAACTACTTATTAATAGGAAACTTACCTACCAACAGATCAGTTAATAGGTTTTCTTATCCATTAATTTCTTCATTTTCTTAGAAATTTATTTTTAAAAAATTCAGTATAAACTTTGAATTTTTTTTTTTCAATTTTAAATTTACGACATTGAGCCCTCGAATATTGCCATATGTAAACCCGTGAATCATAGTAGCTTGTTTTCAAGAACTTTGTTATTAATAAAGAGGAAGACTAAGATTATGTGGGGTTATGACAGACAAATCACAAAAATCACTTGTACTTATATAGCGAAAATAAAATTTTGAAAAATTCGAATTATAGGTGGAAGGCGCGTAAACACTTCTAGAAGATGGTTGAAGTCTCTCAGAAGGTGCAAAAGATCGTGGCGGCACTATTTCCGAAATTTAACCAAGCCTAGACTATTGAGGGCAACAAATGCCCAAATATATAAAAATAGAATAGAAAACTTCTAACATTTGAATAGAATAAACTTGAGTGTGAGGTAGGATTGAATTTCTCCATACTAGATCATTTGATCCATACTAGACCTCTCAAGTTAATCAAGCCTCATAAATGTGTTCAATCCTTGAATACATGATTTAAGAAAATTCATCTTCCAAAACAATAAATTTGAAAATTCATTCATGTTTCACACTAATCAAAATGTATCTCATAATTGGATGAGTAAACTTAAAATAATTCATCCTAAAATTATATTAATCAAGTAGATTCATTGAAAATATTAAATGTCATGTATGAATGCTTGTGAAAACATCTTCCTTATTCATACATGAACCACCAAAATATATACATATATGTACATATAAACACATTTATATGAATCAAAATACTTTAATTTAATTATATATAAATATATTATAAAAATATTTTAAAACATTTTCCAACATATCATTCATTAGAGATAATATTCTTGTAGGTAAAAGAAGGAGCGACCAACCTTGCATGCAAAACTAGTTAGCTTTATCAAAAATCAATTAAACTGTGGTCCCATGGATTAATAATTGTGGTTGCTTTTTCTTTTTCCTTTTCCTCTCTGTATCTTTGATGATGTTAGAGAGAAAAATGACTATTAGTCTAGCGCGCGCGTGTTTATAGTCAACATTCATAGCTGTTAGTGTATGCATCAATCATCAGCATGTATAATGTTTTTTAATTTAAAAAAAAAAAAAACTTGTCTCATTAATGATGACCATATTATAATGATGATTTAGTCTCTACGGTCATATTGCATGCTAGGACTGTGACAATATATTTAACTATGATATATATTTTACTTTAATTTGGACTTAAAAATAAATAAAAATAAAAGAGGACCAAACTATATATTATATCAACAATGAATTAGTTGGTGATACGGAGTTGGGAGCTAGTTTAAGAGGCAGTTTATTGGTCTATAGAACCACTTGAGGAAGTCAAAAATAAATTTTAAACAAGAAAAAAAAAATGGATTTACTGTTGTTTCAAAGTTTTATTTGAATAATTTAGGGATTCATAACTTTTTGTTCAGCTACTTTAAGTTTCCTAACTCCCATGTGGAACAAATTTCTCTTCATACATTCTCCCCCATTCCAACTCAAAGTGTCCTCATTGTGCCTCGGGCTGTGAGATATATATTTTGTAATTGGCTTATTTCGTTGTCAAAATAAGTCCGATCGAGTTGTAATTTTTCAATTAAAAATTTCAAAGATTGAAAATCGGATGCGGATTTGAAGAAGAAAGTCCAGTGGTTATGATGAACTACACTCCGAAATAATGAGAACGATACTCTAAGAAGGTTGAGAGGTAGTGAGAACAGTTCAGAAGGATTCTGGAAGGTTCGGAACAAGTTTCATTGCCAAATTTCAAGACTGGTCATCTTAAATAGGTTCAAGAGGGCTGAACCGGTTCAAGAATCTGTGGAATTCCTTACTGTCCATCTTGAACCGGTTCAAGTAATCCTGGATGCATCAGGTTTCCAAGTTTTCATCTTCTGATGTTTCCTTTTTGATCCCAACTTCCTTCCAAATCCTATACACGAAATTTATCATATTTTCTAAGGGATTAGGACTTTCAAAACTCTATATAAACTTTGTCATATACATTGGTTTATTCTCGGCTTTTGGGAAAATCAATTTTATATTTTAAGAAAGCCTTTAGAGAGAGAAAAATTTAGAAAATCAAATCTGATTATTCTGAATTTATTTTTGAGAGCACACATATATATTCATGAGTGATTTAGTTGTAGTATTCTCTATCTCATCGGAATTGAAGCTGTATTGAAGATTCAAATATTCCAGATGATTAGGAGGATTTAATTCTTCTACATCCAAATCTTGAAGAACAGAAGTAAGCACAGTCACACTTAAAAAATGTTGGAGCATTCGTGGAGTGTTGTATGATCTACCTGCTACTCTTCTACAAATATCAAGTGTAAGCCTGAGGTCAAGTTGTTGTTGGACGGGGAGTCGCAATGCTAGAGGATCGTCAGCGGTTAGTGTGGTGTAGAACGATAGGATGTGAGTCAGAGTCAAAGTTCGGTATACTTTATTTCAAATATAGTGGATTGGTTTACTTTGGACTGCATAGTCCACGAGGTTTTTCCCATGCAACCAGTTGACGTATTTTATCAACTGGGGTTTCCTTGCTAAAATTCTGGTGCAATCTCTCTAACTCTAACTTGTTTTACTTTTCATATATTTATGATTGTGAATGCATGTTTAAATTGGTCATATAATTTAATCAATCATAAATTGAGCAAGTTGACCTAATAATCAGATCTAGGTCATTAAAGGAGTTAATCACAATTAAAATCAACTAACTATTTCCGCACCCCGCATAACTTTTGTTTCACACAGGCCACCTACCTATTCGAGATAGGACATTGTGGCTCGGGCCACCTGCCTATTCGGGGTGCAAATCCGAACGTTTTCCAAGCCGGACGTTTGGCGTGACATAGGATCAAAGATTGGGTCTGACTCTGATACCAACTGTAATGAATAGGTATTTCGCGATTTGACCCAAAAACCTAAGCTATTAAATGGGCTAACACACAATTTATATATACCCATTCATTTTTTCATCAAAGGGACAAGCTCCCCTGTTGTACTTGGCTTATATAAGTTCATGAATTCAAAATTTAATCAAGTTTGTTCAATTGGACACCAAGGATTTCAGTGGTGAGAAGAGAAGCTTCAAAATCAAGTAATATCAATCTGACTACTTCCCATATATTGTAACACCAAGAAAAGCATATATTGCAGCCCTTAAATCAATATGTTTGATTAATTACTTGCTACAAGTATAATGTTATATAAAGAAAAGAAGAGTTGTTTGAATTACAATTAAATAGAATTGTTGTAGTAGATGTAACATTTATCCTAGTCTAGAATAAATCAATAAAAAACAAAATACAGAAAGGGAAACATATAATACAAGATCAAATGTTGCACCAATAAATTACCCCTTCAAACTTCGTCTCCATACCAACTGTTTTTCATCTTGGGGCCAGTAGGACCATCCTCTCCAAACACTTCATCTGGCAGAAGATTCACCAAGCTCTCAAATGCAGATTTCAGCTGACCATTCAACGAATTCTCCACCTTCTCGACCTCAACCCCGAGTTCATATGTAATTTTCGGTCCCCATTTCCTAGCATAGTTCAGCCATGGTGGCTCCTCAACAACCTTCCCGCCAAGATTCTCGGCCGCAACCACTGAATACCTAGTCCCAGTGTCCATCACCATCTTGCTTTTGGCGGTGTCATTCCTAATCCCAACTCCAAGGCCTCCTTGTAACACAAGTCCTGGCTTTGGATAATTAGCATGTCCATGAAGTGACGAGTATGCCACGGCCTTATTAGTACCACTGTGGAACTCGAGCAATGGAGCTTCAACCCATGTCCCTCCACTATGCTGCGAAAAGTAGACACTGTTCAACACACCATTAAAATTGCTGATTCTTAGGGTGAGGTGCTCCCAATCCCCGACATGTTCCCCTATCCGGCCTAATGGAACGTTGATCAGCTCGATTTTAGCTGTCGAAGGTCCATTAAAAGGGTAGAAAATCCACATAGCTATATCGGTGAATGTTGCACCGAGCATAGGCTTGATGTGTAGATAAGCCTCAGAGCTTCCTATCTCGCCTTTCATAACTGCATCTTTTGCATTCTCATCAATTGGAAGGTCCAGCCAATATAAACCATCATTCGAGCCACCATGAGGAAGGTTTGAGCCATTTGGTTCCACAGAAACCGGTTTAGACTCTTCCCCTTGTTTATACAGCAATGCCCCGTTGCTGAAAAACCAGTTCACAGAAGAGGGGAGGTAAGTTTCTTTAGGATGAAAGTAAATCCATGGAGAGTAAGCTTTAACTAACGCCTCGATTTGGCTTAAATTAGGCATACAAGAAGACAAGTTTAACTTGTTATTCTTCAAACACTCTAGAGACAGAGTGGTAGAAGAAGAAGTCCCACTATCTTGGAATATAAATGTACCAACACAAACACCTAGTGCTTGTGTCCCTCTATTGCTAGGTCTCAAACCATGCACAGTAATCCCATCTGAGCTGCTCTCTGCATCTTCTCCCCAAATCCATTCATCGGTCTCACATTGCTCGGTTAGGTCAGAACGAACACACCGGATTTTGTCAAGCGAAGGCTTCTCGGGTGAGGTGGTGACAACATGACCTACAGCTTTGTAGCCATCTGGTGGTGTTGGTAACCAAACATAACCATCCCCATCTTTCTTGATCTCCAATGACTCACTATTCCAAACCAGAGTGTAGTCAATTGGCTGCTTCAAAGCTTGGCCTTGCGAATCACTACTTGTGTCATCATCTTTTCCAACAAGAACCCACCCGAAAAGTGGATTGTTGTTAGGTTGGCTGTAGCAACCAAGCATGAAGAATCCATCTGGTATCGACGAAGGCTCGAAAAATGTTGCACCAAGGTCCCTTGGTCCACCTTCATAGGTAGCCCAAACTTTGGTGAAAGATGAAACTTGAGTTACTAAAAGTCCTCCTAGATCAATTGTTCCACTCCCAAAACCTTCACCTGTAAATTTCAAACCCAAAATGAGCTAAAAATATTCATATATATATATATAAGAAATTGATTGAGCTAATGATAATAAAGATAAAAATAAACCTGGAGGCCAAGTGGGAATTGGAGATGGAAGCTTAAAAGTTGTGTTAATGGGCAAAACTTTGCTTTGAGGAAGGCAGTTCCCCATTGGTAATTTTTCAAATGAAAATTGATGGGAAGTGAAGGAGGTTTGAATATATGGATATACAAAGAGAATGTCTATATATAGAGATGGCAATAGACATATTCTAGTGAACATGATGCGCAAGTTATTGAAAAAAAAGTAATATGAATATGTGTGGTCTGAGCTCTTCAGGGATGGGCCATCAATGGACATTTCGTGCAAGTAATCCTACTGGTTTTTTCAAGGCTTCTTAATTTGTATAACCACCTTTTTTTTAATAAACACCAAACACGACCTAAATATTTAAGAGGTTTAAGTGACTGAGAAATCAATACTACTGTCAAATGATTTTAATCCTTAAGTTTTTGTTTTCTGTAGTAGCTGTGACAATCAAACTTGTCCTCTATCATTAGTATTTCTACCTGAAAATTGATATAAACGTGTGTCAATTTGTGTATTTGACAATTATTTTTCTTTGAAGAAAACAATGACGTCATAGGTGAATCATATGATAAATTTTGACCATATTTTGATGATCACTAAGCTGAACTTAATATTGTTCAATTTTGGTTATGAAATTCTAATTTTCCCTCAGTTGATGAGTTTTGTCTCATGGAAACCATGGCCTGGCTACCACAATCAGAGGAGATTTTCTGTGCAGGGTAGCCTCTTCTGCAAGCTCCAAAAAGTACTAGCTCGAAATTTTGCCCCTAAAATCAATTGTTTTGCCCATGAATCTCTTTGGTTTGGATGTTTCTGGATCCCTTCCTATTGCATTCATATGATGTACTGCATATGGTCATGATCAAACTGCTTCTCTTCTGGCATATATATAAATTTTGAATTGTGTATGTTGGCTTTCCTTTTTGGTTTTCTGAATCTGTTTTATCATAACTAGGGGAAGAAAAAAAAAATCAAAGTTCTCACACCGAGGGAAGCTGGATATGATATTAAACTTTCCAACAAAACGCTACTCTTTCGTCCCTCTACTGAACATAAAAAGGTGAATGCTTTTCCTTCTCAATTTTCCTTTTCCTTTGAAAGCATATTTTGTGAACATGGATGGCAGATGTCATACTTTTTGGCACTCCTCTGGTACTTGGATCAAAATTTTGTACTATTTATCACTCTCTACGTTACTTCCTGGCACTCCTCTGATTCCTATAATGGAGGAAACACGGCGGCTCGGGCGGCTTCTAAGGCTTCCTGCAACGCGCATGGAGGAGGGAGAGAAGATGAGTAAAAGGTGAAGTAACTTTTGTGGGTTTTTACTATTACAAGTTTGGGGGTATTTTCGGTATAACACATTTAAATACACATCACTTCTTTGGCACATGTGAGAGTAGAGGTATTTTCGTCACAAAAGTCAATTTGTCAAAGCATTTGTTAACCACACGCTGGGTTAACGAGGCCAATTGCCAGTGTTTGGGTAAAATGATGATAACGTTGTTGTATTGTTGGGGGTTTTTAAAACTGGTTGGGGTTTTATGATATTTTTTAATAGTTTTGGAGATTTTTGAGAAATTTGTCCATAACTTTATTAGATCATAGATGGGTTCAATTCAATTCACCATTGCTGATGTAATACATGTCATCCTATTGCATCCACATAGAAAGAAGATATCACAAATTCAATGTAACCCCAACAATATTGCTTTGAATTCTCTTTTTCGAACAATATACAATGCTTATGTTATAAATTGTGTAAAAGGTAAATATTTTTTTGCGGTACTTTATCTCGTCTTCCAATATAAATATAAAAGGTCAAGTCTACCTTAAATTTAGAGGTAAAATTCGTACTTTTCTAATTCAAATCTTCACGAGTTACTTTTCTCAGTGTCGATTTGGAGCAATCCGAGCAAATACTGCAAATTTCAAGCAAACTTTAGACTACTATATAAGTGAATCTTGTTAAGCTTTTGAAATGAGTCTATAGTAGAACATGATTCTCTCCAATAGTAGATGGCGGTGGTATACATATATTTACTTGTACAAAACAATTTCTTGTTAAACAAGTCTGACAAATAGGATGATTTTTATTTTTTGTGGAAAAGTCAAGCTATTTTTTATAATAATAATAATATCGTCGGTAATGAAGAAGGGCCATAGGCCCCAGTTGAAAGAAGAAAACAGAACTAGATGGTCCAAGCAGGACTAGAGATAGAAAAACAATGCCATCTAAGTAGGCCCAAACAAACAGAGCAATGACTGACTCAGTCCATTACAAAGGATTGGCAATTAAGAGCCCAACTCCGAAATTTGAATTACAATCCGTTGGCAATAGGGGTCCTCCATCGTGTGTCTAGTGTCAAGGTGGCGATTTTTATCACGGATTTGGGCCTTAGAGTATGTATCCAAATAGGTGCATGGGCTAATGGTTGGAACGAACCATCTCACTCAATGCATATTTGGGTTGGATCGAAAAGGCACTATTGGGTGTATAAATATCCAAGAATCCCATTTGAAAATATATGCTCCAGAATTGCTCCAGAATTACTCGTATCACATTAAAAGTGTGCATAAAAGTGTAGGATGCTAAAAAGTTCGAATAGTTCTACAAGAGTGATATATCCATTACATATATGTGTTTCATACTTCCGAATTCAAAATTTTAAAATATATCTTTTTATTTTTAACACGATATTTTTCAAATACTTCGAACACGTACTTGATACTTTTCAAATACTTTAGAATACATTTTAAATAAGTTTTAAATATTAAAATGTAACTTTATCTACCATATTATCATAGGATAATTGTTAAGAAAATTTTGAGATTTATTTAAAAAGAAGTATCGAGATATATCTATCGTGATTTAGTACAAAATTTAGAACACATTAATGATTGCATTTAAATTCATAATTATATAAAAAATTGACCAAAAATTAATTTATATATATATAAATAATAATTTTTTATTTTTTTATATTACTGTATCCTACTGTACCCGTATTCTATTGTTTTGGAATTTATCATATTATTGTACCATTATCCGTATTAGTACTTCTTAAGTAGGATGTCTTCTCTCCTTCTCTCTTCAACCACTTGAACCCAAATACGGAGTAGGTTTTAGTCATGATCTTCGAGCCACATAACGGGTTGAGCCATATAAACATGGGAAGAAATCTTCTCCATGGCACCTCTCACTGAAGGCTGTCCATGGAGGATCCAATGGCTATGATGAAATCATGTCACCCAGAGTTGTCTTGTCATTGTCCAGTAAGCGCCAACTTAGCATATGAATTAAAAAAGTTATTAAACTCAATTTTGTTTTACCATGTACAAATACCGTATACGAAAGTTATATACAGAAGTATTTTATTCAGTTATACGTGAGACCCAATTCAGTAAAAACCCAATTAACTTTTACTTCTTCTCTTTTGTTGGTCTTTTTCCTCCTTCTATTCTCTTCTTCTTCCTTCATCCTCCACTGATTTTTCACCAACACTAAATACCTTCATCCTCATGTGGGTAATGGAATTGACTAGGTAAAATAATAGAATTGATTTCAATTGATTTTATGTTTCCTCTTATTCCCATAAATATATATATATATATATATATACACACACGCTTTAAAGTGGAATTGATTTGTCTGATAAAGGATGGTGACCATAAAAAGCCCATGGTTTCTTCTTCGCATAGTTGGAGAGAGAGACAATTGAGATAACCAGATTTAGGGAAGAAAGATAGGGGAGAGAGAACTGGGTTTGGATTGTTAAGGCATTGTTTGCCTCGGCATTATTTCCTTATTTTTTTTCATTTAACATTCTTTTTTTAATTGGCGTGGCCCAATTTTGACCGCTAGATCAATCAACGGTAATAATATATACTCACTATGAGAGATGATTCTAATTTGGTAATTAATGGATAATGATCTTGAATTTAAAGATGGGTGATCAAAATGTGGGAGGAAATATGAGATAAAAACTTATTTCTTGAAAAATAGGTCTAAATAGCATGTTATTATTTTTTCACTTTTTGCTACTTATTTAAAAATTGTCATTACCAAAGGAAATTTTGTGTGTATTCATTATATATCTTAATCTTTTGACAAATTAAAATTTTGTGTAATTACATTCCAAAAAAAAAAAAAAACAAATTTTATGCAATCATTCTATCTACAAAACAACAAATTTACATATCCATTATGCATCTCAAAACATATCAAATATGTTTTGAGATGCATAATGGATAGGTAAATTTCGAATTTTAGATTACAATAAATAATAATCACAAGTTCTTACAACATATATCATGTATGAATTGAATATTGTATCAGAATATTTTCATAACACATATCAAAAATAAATTTAGAATTTTAGATTACAATAAATAAGAATCACAAGTTGTTACAACATGTATCATATATGAATTGAATATTTTATCATAATATTTTCATAACACATATCAAAAATATACTTCACAAAGTATCGTCTTCTCTTTGGTTGTTGATTAATAAAATTTGAATTTGAAAAAAAAAAAAAAAAAAATTAAAAACTGTTTTGCCAACAATGAAGTAAAATAGCAATTTTAAATCAAGATATGTATAGGTAAATATTCATTATGTTTTAGACATTAATTTATATAATAAGTGGTACGTATTACAAGTAATTTGTGATGTTGGATGTAATTTACATTTGAAACATATTGAGCTTAAGTTGTGTAACATATTTTCACTTTTGACAATGGGACAATCTTCCACTCATAAAAGAAAGTTGATGGATTTATTTTATCCCATTCCTTTTTATATTATCGTTGTATTATAAAGTTCATAAATAATATATGCTACAATTAAGTTGAAATGTATCATATAATTGATTTTTGAAACATTATACTTTAAAGCAGTGATATTTTCAAGATACTTTGTTTAATATTACATAATTTAATGTTTGTTCAAGATATGTTTGTTTAGCATGTTATTATTTTTTCACTTTTTTCTACTTATTTAAAAGTTGTTATTACCAAAGGAAATTTTGTGGTGTGACACTCCTTCCCTTTTACGGAATAAAGGATTCTCGTGTTAAAAATTTGGGGTGCGACACTCATTCTCTTATAGATATATACACACACGCATATACTTTGTACTCATCATAATCAAACCCAGAGATCCCAGATAAAAACCCAAAGGTCCCCTCTCCAATTCCACTTTACCCTTCTTTGCTTTGTGCAGAAAAATGGGTCTTCATCT